ATCTGATTGACATCAGAAAAGTTGTCTCATGGTGCTGAATATTGGGATCATAACACCTACTATCATGCAAACTAAAACTGCCATCTTAAATGGTTTTGGAACATGACCTAGAGATAGAGATGAATTAATAATATTGAGAAGAGGCTCTTCTGCTACAGGTAACAACTCTTTCAATAGTTTAGTACAAATGGGGTCTAGTAAACATGTTGTTGGTTTAGATGCAATGATTAGTTTTAGTTCTTCTTGTCCTATAGTTGTAAAGCACTGTAATTGTTCTTTAGGGGCCGTAACAGAGGCTGTATCATAAAATGCAGTCAAAGGTTGTACATTTACAATTGTATTTCTAATAGTTTCGATTTTCTCAGTGAAGAAATTCATAAAGTTATTACTACTAAACTGTAATGGAATATTCAGTTCAGGTGATGTCTGTTGATTTGTTAGTCTCTAGAGACTGTATTAAATAGATACCTTGGATTGTTTTGCTTATTTTTTATGAGTTTGCAGAAATGCTCGGCCCTGGCTGCTTTTAGAGCCTTTTTGTAGCGGGATATGCTTTCTTTTTCCATGCGATTTTAAAGACCTCCAAATGAGTTTGTTTCCATTTGTGCTCTAGGTTACGAGTATCTCTCTTTAGAGCCTGAGTATTGGTGCAGTATTTTTCTCTCTAACTTTTTTAATCTGATGGGTGCGACAGGATCTAATGTATTAGAGAAGATTGTGCCCATACTGCTAGTCATTTCTGTTCGGCAACCAAAATTATTTGACCGAAAATAGCAAAAAAAGCTCTTTCGAATAAGAGAAAAGACTGAATAAACTGTACCGAACAATGACGTGACGCTATCAAATAGCAACCAGCGTAGAGTGACACCGTGTCTACACCGGACGCGACAGTTGTCGTGTCACGCCGCGCAGCAACAGCTAAAAAGTCTGTCTACACTGGACGCGACAAAGTGACCGTTGAAAATCAGGTAGTCTCAGGTCATGCTTGTTATAACACACACCAAGTTTGGTCTCAATACGCCAAACCGTTGCGGAGATATAGCCTCACATCCATTTTTACGTGCTTTTCGTAGAATTCCTTCGTGCGTTATTCGAGAACGGTTGGACAAATCAACTTGAATTCCATAACTTTTTGCCAGCATGGTCTGAAGATGATCTGAGCCAATTTTGGTGAGAATCAGACAAACCGTCTAGGACGAGTTCGAAAAAGTAGGTTTTACAAACAATTAAAAATAGCGAAAAAACTAAACCTTGCGATTTTTGAATTTTGGTGTTAATTCGACTCAGCATGAGCCAAGGATTCAAAGGAAAAAGAATTTTCAGTTTGTGCCTTATGGTTCAAAAATTATTAGCATAAAGAAATTGAAATTTTGGACAAGTGGTGGCGCTAGAGAGTTGGAGTTAGAGACTCCAAACTTGCTGAGGTTAATGTTGAGACTGTCCTCTATCAGTGTGCCAAATTTCACAACTTTCCCGCAAGCGGTTCTATGGGCTGCCATAGACTTGCGGCGGAAGAAGAAAAATGACGCTAACGGATACAATAGGTGCCACTGCACCTTCGGTGCTTGGCCCCTAATAATAATTACAACAGCTCTGTTAATACATTTATTATAACATACACACATAGTGTTCAAACTGGGATCTGTAATATTTTCTAATGTTTTAAAATAAGTCTCTTCTCAGCAAGGCTGCTTTTATTTGTACAGTAAAAAAAATACATGCCTGATTCAAGAAGGGGGTCTGATGGCCCAAAAATATTATTTTACTAACTTATTAATTTTAAGTTAAATTGTGCTTTGTTGGTATAATGTCTGCTAGAATGTTAAAAAATGTTCCGTGATAAATATTTTTAAATGTTTTTTTTTATTATTGATTTTTTCTTTGAAAAGCAAGACAAAACAGTAAAAAGCACATTTTGGCTATTTAATTTATGCAATGGAGAAAACAACTGGCAAAATACATGGGGGAAAAAACTCAAAAAAACGTGTTCGGTATTCGGCCCAGTGTTTCATTTTGTTCGGTTTTGACTTTGGCCAAGAATTTTAATTTCGGTGCATCCCTATAATTAAGTCTAGTGTATGATTAAGACGATGAGTGGGTCTAGTGACATTTTGCTTGACCAGAAATGAGTTTAGTAAATCTGTAAACGCAACCCCTAACAAATCATTTTTATTATCACCGTGATATTTCTTTTCTTTTAATAACTGAAGTTATGATTTTATAGCATCAGAACATTATCCAAAGCATTTCAATTCTCCAGGTTGTAGCTGCATTTGTTCATTGTTCGTGACTGATGGACAGTGTCTGTGAAAATGTTAAACGCTTAAGAGAAACCGATTCCGCTAATGGGAGATGGTCAGCGTTTTGTCTTTGTGAGTGGTACACACAGTCCTGAAGATTATGAATATTTAACATAACCGCTAAACTCTTCTGGGAAGGTTTTCTGCTAGATGTTGGAAGATGAATGCAGAGATGAGCTTCCATTCAGACACGTAAGCGCCATTATGTTGGGCGATGATGGGGCCTGATGCGCGACTGGTGTTCCAGTTAATTTCCAAAGCGTGTAGTGGGGTTGAGGTCTGGGCAGCCATGTTCTCGTCCTGCAGACTCAGTAAAGCTTGTCTATACAAGGGTATTGTCATGCTGGGATAGAAAAGATCCCTACTCAGACTGTTGCAACAAGGTTAAAAGCACATGATTCTCTATGCCATTATACGGTGAAACAGTAGGATTTAGACTAAGAGGTCGGGTTAAATATACCGCTGCTTCCTTTTGCCATTATCAGACCAGGCCACCTGTTTATCATGGGGTCCATTTGTTTACCATTAGTAAATATCTTTTGATTTTTTTTTTCTTTTTTTCTTTTGCCGGGGTAGTTTCGATGATGGAAATATAATGTCAAAAAGGTAAAAATTGTGCTCATCAATGTCGTTTACTCACCCAAAAATTGTTCCGACATAAAATTTGAGATTTTGAAGAATGTTGGTAAGCAAACAGTTTTCATTTTTGGGTGAGTTACACCCATGAAACTCTATTTAACATTATGGCTGTTTGTTGTTTCACCTATCAATTCGTGTCGATAAAGTATAATAGGGTAAATCCTGTATAGTGATTTATCATATATAGTGCTTGCATAAAGCAAGTAGTGCATGCACTTGTAGCTGTTATGTATCTTTGTAAGCCATTGTAAGCCCTCTTTTGAGGCATGCGCAAGCGCACGACCCATCCCCCCCCGTTATAAAAAAAAAACCAAGTGGGCTCCCCCAAAGTCCACGGTATAGTTCGAACACTGATTATATAAAATATATACACTACTTTTAAAAAAACTTTGGTGTCAATATTTATTGATTGAATGATTGAAAGTAGGGATGTAACGATTAACCGCAAGCCGGTTGAAAATCGATTAAAATATGTGACGATTCAAATCGGTTGAGATGCTAAACAAATCGCGATTCATTTAGGGGTAGGAGTTTATATGAATGCATGTCTGAGGGGAACTTACTGACTTTAGAAAAGTGTAGATGGTATTTCTTCTTTTCCGTTTAGTTTGTTTATATGAAGATATTTATTTTATTTGTGTTATTTATTTGATTTGGGGCTTGTTTTAAAATTTCAATTTAGCTTTGTTACTTACATTTACATTATATTTAAATTTTGTTAATTAGCAAACGCTTTTATCCAAAGCGACTAACAAATGAGGACAATAGAAGCAATCAAAACCAACAAAAGAGCAATAATTTACAAGTGCTATATTAGTATATTATTATATACTGTATTTCAATTTCTCAAAGAAACGTACAGTATTTTGTCCAAGCAATAATAAAAGGACACATTTAATTTATAATTTGTCTTAAATCTCATTTTGTTAAAAAAAAATTGTGAATCGAATCGTGAGTTGAGTGAATCGTTACATTTCTAACTGAAAGAAATTCATACTTTTGTACAGCAAGGGCACATTAAATTGAAAAAAAGTGACAGTAAAGGCTTTTTTTTTTTTTTAAACCTGTTTTAAATAGTTGTTCTTTTGAATCTTCTATAAAATATCACAGTTTAAAAAAAAAATATGAAGCAGCACTGCTGTTTTCAACATTGATAATAATCAGAAATGTTTCTTGAGCAGTAAATCAGCATATTAGAATGATTTCTGAAGATCATGTGACACTGCAGAGTGCAGTAATGATGCTGAAAATTCAGCTGCGCATCACAGGAATAAATTACAGTTAAATATATATTCACAGAAAACAGCTATTTTAAATTGTAATAATATAAATGCAAATACTTACAAATAAATGCAGCCTTGTTGAGCATAAGAGACTTTCAAAAACATTAAAAAAATATTACTGACCCCAAACCTTTGACAAATAATGTGTGCGTTGGCCCTGGTGACAGTAGACATAAATTTTTTTTTTTGCATATTACTGACGAACAACACAATAACTTGAAGTGTTATATTATGATAGCTATAGCTAGTGTATACAGAACTAGATCTCTTTGGATGAATTGGTTTGGCAGATATATAAGTCTCTATCAACAAAACCAGCTGAAACTCATTTTCTATTAATTATCTGGAGTCATTTCCATGACTTTAATAAGACGGCTGGCTCCTCCTCCGTTGCTAAGGTTTTGTTTTGTGTATCCGACACCACTGAATCAGTGACGTCACAGTGAAACCCGTGGTATGTTTTTTGTGTCATTTAGAAGCTCAGAGGTGTCGGGTTACGTGTTGATGTTTTGGGATCGGCCCTCTGCGGTGATGCGTCTTCCTGTGATGAACATAGACATATGATAGTGTTTATGGAAAAGTGGTTTTTATTTGTTGTTTATTGTATTTTTTATGATTTTAAACACAAAACGCCTAATTTAAAACGGACAAAAAAGACATTGAAGAAGCACATATACAAACATGTAAATAAATAAATAAATAATAACCAAAAAAGCATACAGATGTAACCTTTATTACTCATATAATGCTGTTCAAAAGTTGGAGGTCAGTAAGATTTTTTTGAATATTTTTGAAAGACATTTCTCGCTCACCAAGATGGCATTTATTTGATAAAAAATGCAGTAAAATATTATTACAATGTAAAATAGCTGTTTTCTATTTGAATGTATACAATGTAATAAAAGCTGTATTTTCAGCATAATTACTCCAGTCTTCAGTGTCACGTGATCCTTCAGAAATCATAATAATATGCTGATTTGATGTTTATTATTATCAATGCTGAAAACAGTTGTGCTGCTTAATATTTTTGCAGAAACCATGATACTTTTTTTTTCTTGAAGAATAGAAAGTTCAAAAGAACACTGATTTGAAATAGAAATCTTTTGTGACATTCTAAAAGTTTTTTGCTGTCACTTTTGATTTAACTTTTGAAAAAAAATAATAAAATTAAAATCAAACTTTTGAAATGTTTTTTCCCTATATATTTATCTAAATTTACATTTACAAATAATTTTAAGATGATTATTGTAGTGCTTTACTTCTTGTTATATTAATATAATGATACATTAATTTGAATAGTGTAATAAACATTGATTTTATTTTCTGACTTCGGTGCTAATACCCAGATATCACAGTATTATTGCAGTAACTATAATTGTGGTAACCCTTTTTGTAGGAAACTATGCCTAAGGTTTTTATGTCAGTTTGCTATATGTATATATTTGTTTTATTTTCTCAGGTATCTGTATTGTATTGGTGCACCTGCTGATCAAATTCAAGCTGCACTTTTTGCCTGAGAGTGTGGCTGTGGTTTCTCTGGGTAAGTGACTTTATGATCTCATTCTCGGGAACTTTTAGCGGTAACACTTTAAACTGTTCCATTCAATGCTGGTGAAGTATTTGGGTCAGCCAGTCATAATAATAAAAACAGAAGTTCGTCACAAAACAGCTTGTGTTCCTGTTGCAAGTGACCAGACAGTGTGTCTTTAGAAATGAGATCACTCTGTTTTATGAGCAATAAATTAACTGATCAATAATGAATAGACCTGCATTAAGATACAGAGAGGACAAGAACGGGAGTGGACGAACTGATATGAAGCACACACACATATTCCATTCGTGGGAAGCAGTGAAGTAATTAATTATCACAGAAAATATGTAATGGTTTACGCTCGCCTGTCGTGTTTCACAGTGTTGTGAAACCTGAGTCTGAACCTGAATGAATACCAATGTAGTTCCTCTAAGATTGTGTGTGGATTGATCAGTTCCTCTTAGCGTGCAAGCCTATTGTAGATATTCACAGAGTAAACGAGTTAGGCCACCAAAACATCACAAATCTCTCATCATTTACTCACCTTGAAGTCATGCCAAGCCTGTATGACTTACTTTCTTTTGTGGGAAGAAAGAAGATATTTTTCTGAACAGTTTTGGTTACCATTGACTTTCATGATGATACATTGAATTTTACGAGTATGAAAACAAGGCCATGAGGGATAGACTTACAGACTTAATGGCACACACTGTGTAAAGTTTGTAGATCATGTGTAATTTTCAAAAATTTTCAAAAATTCTATCCCTCAGAAGTTCATCCCTGGCAAAAATAAAAAACGGAGCTACCTTATGGTTTATTAAAGAAAAAAAAAATCTTTAAAAATATATTTTTTTATGTTTCACAGAAAGATGAAACATTTTCATCTTTTAGGTGAACTATCTCTTTAGTGCTCATAAGTTTACACGCCACTTGAAGAATATGCAAAATGTTGATAATTTTCACAGAATAAGAGGGATCATGGAAATTGCATGTTAATTTTTGATTTAGTACGGTCTTGAATAAGCCGTTTCACATAACAGATGTTTATATATACTCCACAAGACAAAATTTTTTTTGAATATTTTTGAAAGACATTTCTCGCTCACCAAGATGGCATTTATTTGATAAAAAATGCAGTAAAATATTATTACAATGTAAAATAGCTGTTTTCTATTTGAATGTATACAATGTAATAAAAGCTGTATTTTCAGCATAATTACTCCAGTCTTCAGTGTCACGTGATCCTTCAGAAATCATAATAATATGCTGATTTGATGTTTATTATTATCAATGCTGAAAACAGTTGTGCTGCTTAATATTTTTGCAGAAACCATGATACTTTTTTTTTCTTGAAGAATAGAAAGTTCAAAAGAACACTGATTTGAAATAGAAATCTTTTGTGACATTCTAAAAGTTTTTTGCTGTCACTTTTGATTTAACTTTTGAAAAAAAATAATAAAATTAAAATCAAACTTTTGAAATGTTTTTTCCCTATATATTTATCTAAATTTACATTTACAAATAATTTTAAGATGATTATTGTAGTGCTTTACTTCTTGTTATATTAATATAATGATACATTAATTTGAATAGTGTAATAAACATTGATTTTATTTTCTGACTTCGGTGCTAATACCCAGATATCACAGTATTATTGCAGTAACTATAATTGTGGTAACCCTTTTTGTAGGAAACTATGCCTAAGGTTTTTATGTCAGTTTGCTATATGTATATATTTGTTTTATTTTCTCAGGTATCTGTATTGTATTGGTGCACCTGCTGATCAAATTCAAGCTGCACTTTTTGCCTGAGAGTGTGGCTGTGGTTTCTCTGGGTAAGTGACTTTATGATCTCATTCTCGGGAACTTTTAGCGGTAACACTTTAAACTGTTCCATTCAATGCTGGTGAAGTATTTGGGTCAGCCAGTCATAATAATAAAAACAGAAGTTCGTCACAAAACAGCTTGTGTTCCTGTTGCAAGTGACCAGACAGTGTGTCTTTAGAAATGAGATCACTCTGTTTTATGAGCAATAAATTAACTGATCAATAATGAATAGACCTGCATTAAGATACAGAGAGGACAAGAACGGGAGTGGACGAACTGATATGAAGCACACACACATATTCCATTCGTGGGAAGCAGTGAAGTAATTAATTATCACAGAAAATATGTAATGGTTTACGCTCGCCTGTCGTGTTTCACAGTGTTGTGAAACCTGAGTCTGAACCTGAATGAATACCAATGTAGTTCCTCTAAGATTGTGTGTGGATTGATCAGTTCCTCTTAGCGTGCAAGCCTATTCACAGAGTACACAGAGTAAACGAGTTAGGCCACCAAAACATCACAAATCTCTCATCATTTACTCACCTTCCAAGCCTGTCAAGCCTGTATGACTTACTTTCTTTTGTGGGAAGAAAGAAGATATTTTTCTGAACAGTTTTGGTTACCATTGACTTTCATGATGATACATTGAATTTTACGAGTATGAAAACAAGGCCATGAGGGATAGACTTACAGACTTAATGGCACACACTGTGTAAAGTTTGTAGATCATGTGTAATTTTCAAAAATTTTCAAAAATTCTATCCCTCAGAAGTTCATCCCTGGCAAAAATAAAAAACGGAGCTACCTTAGGGTTTATTAAAGAAAAAAAAAATCTTTAAAAATATATTTTTTTATGTTTCACAGAAATTTTCATCTTTTTCATCTTTTAGGTGAACTATCTCTTTAGTGCTCATAAGTTTACACGCCACTTGAAGAATGTTGATAATTTTGATAATTTTCACAGAATAAGAGGGATCATGGAAATTGCATGTTAATTTTTGATTTAGTACGGTCTTGAATAAGCCGTTTCACATAACAGATGTTTATATATACTCCACAAGACAAAATAATAAGTGAATTTATAAAAATGACCCTGTTCAAAAGTTTACATACCCTTGAATATTAATACTGCGTGTCATTTCCTGGGTGATCCATGACTGTTTTTCTGTTTTGTGATAGTTGTTCATGAGTCCCTTGTTTGTCTTGAACAGTTAAACTGCCTGCAGATTCTTCAGTTTTCCAGCATTTTCTGCATATCTGAACCCTTTCCAGCAGTGACTGTGTGATTTTGAGATCCATCTTTTCAAACTGAGGACAACTGAGGGACTCAAACACAACTATTACAAAAGGTCAAAACATTGACTGATGCCCAAGAAGGAAACACGATGCATTAAGAGCCAGGATGATGATGTGTACATTTTTCTTATTTTGATTAAAGATCATATTTTTTCATTATGTACTGCACTCAGACACAACATAAATACATACATGTTTCCCAGAAGACAAAATAAGGACAATTTACCCTGATCATCCTGTTCAAAAAGTTTTCACCCCCCGGCTCTTAAAGCACTGTTTCCTTCTTGGGCATCAGTCAATATTTTGACCTTTTGTAATAGTTATGTTTGAGTCCCTCAATTGTCCTCGGTGTGAAAAGATGGATCTCAAAATCACACAGTCACTGCTGGAAAGGGTTCAGATATGCAGAAGATGCTGGAAAACTGAAGAATGTGCAGGAGCTGGAGGATTTTTCTGAAGAACAGCAGGCAGTTTAACTGTTCAGAACAAACAAGGGACTCATGAACAACTATCACAAAACAGAAAAACAGTCGTGGATCACCCAGGAAATGACACGCAGTATTAATATTCAAGGGTATGTAAACTTTTGAACAGGGTCATTTTTATAAATCCACTTATTATTTTGTCTTGTGGAGTATATATGTAAACATCTGCTATGTGAAATAGCTTATTCAAGACCGTACTAAATAAAAAAATAACATGCAATTTTCATGATCCCTCTTATTCTGTGAAAATTATCAACATTTTGCATATTCTGCAAGGGGTGTGTAAACTTATGAGCACAACTGTATATTTGGCTAGCATTGTCACAAACAACAAAATGTTGTTCCTCCTGGTTCATTTAGCTTTTTCTTTTGTTAATAATTCACATAGCAGCTAATTTATTTTGTTTAAGTTTGACGGTAGTTTGTATTTGGCTTTTGTTTTGCAGGGATTCTGATGGGAGCGTTTATCAAGATCATCGAGTCGCAGCAGTTGGCCAACTGGAAGGTATGATCATCTCGTCATCGTTATAAACCACAGATGAAGCTCTTTGCTCTGTCTGAAGGTTTGGTTTTTGCCCCGTTTATTCCTGGTATTAACATCAGCCTTTGGTAATCCAATCACAAGTTATCCTTTAGACCTGCTCCCATCTCCTGTGATCTCTTGTGTTGGGATTTCAGGTTGTGGCAGGTTGTGGAGGCTCTTATCTTACTAAGCCAGTGTGTTTTTGCATGTTGATGTAAGATTTGTTGAAAAAGTGCTATGAAGTTTTGTTCATGTACACTACTGTGCAAAACTTAATTTTTTCAATGCTTCAGAGTGCATTCAGTTGATTAAAAGTGACAGTAAAGACTTTTACAAATGCAATGCACTGTGAGCAAAAACGCCCACGTCTGTGATTAGCATCAAACGTTCCTGCTAATAGCAACCTTATGTCCTCAAATATGAAACAGTGATGAACTATATTTGTTAATGGGAGTGGTGAAAAAAAGAGATCGGTGCAAATACACTGAGGAGTGGCCAGTGAGTCATTGCCGTTGTGGCCTTGCCTTGGTCTAGACATCCAACCTCAGGTTGACGCATGGAAATGGCATCTGTAAGATAAATATGAACATGAATATGTTATTTAACATATGATTAGGAAAATGCATGTTTGCAGTATAATGCCACCTAATAGCTATAATGTGCATAATGTGCATTTGACCATAGTAAACACATTCCATTTGTAGATTGCAAATATTTATGGTAACACTTTACTTGAAGGGGTGTGCATAAGACTGACATATAAAACCTCCTTCATATTCATTAACAGTGTCATGTCATGATTATGAAGGTGCCATGTCAGTCTTATGCACACCCCTTCAAGTAAAGTGTTACCATATTTATTTATCAGGTATGGCCCACAAATATCAACTAGGGATAATAATAATCTCTTAATAATAAAAATAACAATAATAAGTTGTCCAGCCATTTGTTTCACATGATCAAAGATATATGTATTGATATTGAGAATTACCATGGAAAATAACCAGAATTAAGAAAAAAAAAAAAGAAATCTTGACATAGTAATGAGATTCATTCATTCATTCCAATGTAACCTGTACATGATTTAATGAGATTTTCCTAAACATGCTGGAACTTTAGCTTTGCAAGCAGAGGAAATCATTCCATGTGCCGTACATCTTTCTCTCCGGTGCCTCCCCCTTCCCTTCCTCTCTTTTTTCACTCTCTTTCTGTCTCCTGTTTCATTCTCTCCACATCCCAGTGTCTTTGTTTCTTTCTCTAGCTCCCGTTTTCCTCTCATGCCTGCCTCTCTTTTCTTTTCCTCTCTCCACCTTTTCATCTCTCTCTCTCTGTTTCGGGCCTTAATTAACATTTTTGGCTGGGATGTGAGGTGACGCCGGCCACTGTGAGTACAGAGCTTCCTTTTGTTTCAGGAAGTCTAAAGGTCAAGAGGGCCCCTCAGTTCTCTGTTTCGGTAACCAGAGACCCTCTCGATGAGCAGCTCAACTGGAGCGTGTCTCTGCTTCATTCCCTCTAAACTGCGCTTCAACTCTTTATAGAGCACTGATTCTAGAGATGTGGCGTGAGCAGGTGTTTCTAGTCGGCACATAATGTACAGATCTCCATATTTAAAAAACTGACTAGTCTTTCTGGCAGCCAACTAGTCGGTTTTGAAAAGATGTCATTTTGCAAGACGGTATGTAAATGTGGCTCATCTGAGCACAGCCAGGTGCTTTTCTTAGGGCACCGTCAGTAACAGCTGGATGGAGAGAGATGGAATGAAACGGAATGCAAGAGTGTTAAAATAATTTTTTTAAAGTGGAATTATTTTTAACTTTCTATATACACACCTTCTGAAAAGTGCAGTCCTCATGGCGTAAGACTCTCAAAAAAAGTATGCAATGGCCAAAGACTTCTGTCTGTTTTTATCTGTGCTTTACACGGTATAAATGTACAGATGCAACTGTACCGTGTTTTACCATGAACACTGTCTAGCACAGGGCTGTCCAAACTCAGTCCTGGAGGGCCGGTGTCCTGCAGAGTTTAGCTCCAACCCTAATTAAACACACCTGAACCAGCTAATCAAGCTCTTTACTAGGCATAGAAACTTCCAGTCAGGTGTGTTGAGGCAAGTTGGAGCTTAATTCTGCAGGACACCGGCCCTCCAGGACTGAGTTTGGACAGTCCTGGGGCAAGTTCAAGCTCAAACCGGTGTGCACCGTTTTGCTACGGTTTCCGGTTTGAACGACATGTTTCCTGGAAGCGGTGTGCAACGGGGTTTGAGATGTGTTTTCTCTTGTTTGGTGGGTGTGTCAAACATGTCAGCCCAATCAGCAGCAACGTGTATGTGAACCACACGGTATTAAAGAGACAGCTTGCCCAATGTTTTGCAACTCTTGCGTCATCAGAACAGGGTGTTCAACGCACCATCGTTTCCGTTTAAAAAAAACGTTTTGGACAGTTTTTGTCAGGGCTGAACGCAGCCCTGGTCTAACAGCTTAAAAGGATAGTTCACCCAAAAATGAAAATGTGATGTTTGTCTGCTTACCCCCAGGGCATCCAAGATGTAGGTGACTTTGTTTCTTCAGTAGAACACAAACAAAGATTTTTAACTCAAACCGTTGCAGTCTGTCAGTCATATAATGGAAGTGGATGGGAATCACGGCTTTGAGAGTAAAAAAAACATACACAGACAAAACCAAATTAAACCCTGCGGCTCGTGACGATACATTGATGTGTAAAGACACAAAATGATCGGTCTGTGCAAGAAACTGAACAGTATTTATATCGTTTTTTTACCTCTTGATTCACCACAATGTCTGAACTGTCCTGAGCACGTTCTCAACAGCCGGTGCGTGAGAGCCGTCATCATCTTCTTGCTTTACGGTGGATCGCATACTTATAAGTGCATTACCGCCACCTATCTCTCAATGGACCATTGACACTCTATCTACAATCTCAATTAGGAGTGTCAATTGAATTGTAAGATTTCACTGAAAGAAGGTTTATACATATTATAGTCTACATAAAGTAGTGTTATCATGATACCAAAATTTCAGTAGTCTGTAATAATACTAATATATAAGTAATAATATAAGTTCGGTAAATATTGGTCACAGACACAAAGATTTACTTTAAATTTCACCAAGCTGATTACTCACTAAAAACTCCCACAGATCATGTTTTCAGGCCATTTTAAGTCGCATTTTGACATAACAAAGTGATTATATCAAAGTGTCAAAGTGTGTGAGTTGTCTGTTAAAACTCAATGGGCTGAGGGGAGGCGAGAGACGTGGACTCCCGATGTTACTTTACCTGCTGGTGTCGCTGTTGCACAATGTTTCTTTAGAAAAACGAGTGATTTATACACTTTTTAATATTATATTTTGTAATATTGGCGGTTTTATTTTTGTACTACATTTTTTTTCTCATCCAATATTTTGAGGAGGCACTGCCTCCCTTGCCTCCTCAGAGGAAACGCCCCTGGTGTAATGTCATGTGATTTTGAAAATTAAGTGGAATGGTACATTTGAGTTAAAAACATACTAATGATGATCTCTGACTTATTTCAGCTAAAAAAACAAACAAAAAAAAACTGATTGATTGATTCAGACTAACCTCAGAATAACATGCTGGTTCTTGCCAGCAGCTTGTCCTCCTGAGGCGACGACATGCTGTTCTCCTGTCACTGCTACAGATGCACCTTCACCCATTGGCCCATATGCTCAGTTCAGAACTCGTGCCTTGTCAAAACTTTGTATCAAATCAAATCTCTTTCACACATTGTGTGCCGGCGGTGAAATTCTTAGGTCTAGTTCTCTACACCGTGGCAGCAAAACCAAGATGTACACAATTGACAACATACATAAATAACAATATACACATTTACACTATGCACAGTATACACAAGGAATACACAGTTATTAATACTGAATATAGTCGCAGTGATCACAGTCAGTCACATTCAAATGCAGTGTTGTTGGTGTGTTGTACATGTGATGTCCATGTTTGGTGTCGGCTGAAATCGAGCCCTAGTCGGCCGATACGTTGTCTGCTGTCTACACAGGCTCCTGAGGCAGCATGCTAACAGAAGTGGAACCTGTTAAGTGGTTGATTTGAAGCGCTTTTCGTGTGCAGCTCCTTTTAATACTGCTCACATGAGACATTCCACAAAAGACTTACTCACACCAAGAGTGAATATTCCCCTCCATTAAAGGGACCGTTAACCCAAAAATAAAAATGTTCCAAACTCATAAGACTTTTGTTCATTTTCAGAACACAAAGGAATGCATTTTTAATGAAACCCGAAAGATTTATATCCCTCCATTGAAATTCCATTATACCAAAACTTCCAAAAAAGTTCATGAAGACATCATAAAAATAAACCATGTATCCAAATGCGTGTTCAACGTTTATATGTGAATACAAATCTAAATTATATTTGTTCATCATATAAAGTGATGGTGTCTCTGCAGAAGACTTGGAATAAACCGCTCGATTCATATGCATTGCTTTTAAGATTTCAGTCGCACTTTATTTTAAGGTCAATTTCTCGCTTTTAACAAACCATTAACTATGACTTTTGCCTCCATAAACTCCTAATTTGCTGCGAGCAGAAGAAGTGCTGCATTATCACTGATTGTTGCGACGTGCTGGAGCGCTTGGTTAGCAGCCACCAGCCACTGACTTTAGCTCTCATGCAGAGCCTTGGGTTCATGTGCTTTAACATCTACACAAATCCTAATTCCTCTAATATTCCTGTGCTGTTCTGAAGACTGGTCCCATGAATTGTTCGAAACTGTTATGAACCAAAAAGTAGCTTTTTTTCCCCTCAATGATTGCCAAAAGTGTTAGATCATTGTGGAACTGAAAGAGAATGTGGAGCAGCAAGGCCTCCCTGCACAGGAACTTGAAGAATGAGAGCATGCAAATGACGAAATGTGGTGCACTGGTGGTTACATGCATGAAGTGTGTCTATGTGCCTGGCATTATTTTCACAGAAACACAGTTCTGCTCAAGTATAATGTATGTATTTACACGCACATGTATCTATGTACACAAATGCTCACAAACACATTACACACACACTCATTCTCTGACAGTGTGTGTGTGTGTGTAGGCAGGGAAAGTGTTTTATACAACACATTTAATTCAGAATAAGTAATTCAGAGTGTCTTACTGTACATGAGAATAAAGAAAATACTGAAAATAATCTTTATATATAAAGTTTAAAATAATTTGTTTTAATTTAAAATGATAATGTGAAAATAATGAAAGAACAAATAACGAAACTAAAATGGACCACAAAACCAGTCATAAGGGTCAATTTTTTGACATTGAGAATTATACATCATCTGAAAGCTGAATAAATAAGCTTTCCATTGATGTATGGTTTATTAGGATAGGACAATATTTGGTACAACGATTTGAAAATCTGGAATCTGAGGGTGCAAAAAAATCAAAATACTGAGAAAATCGTCTTTAAAGTTGTCCAAATGAAGTTCTTAGCAGTGCTGGAGGATTTGCCACTGATGATTCAAACACGAGTTTTGAGCAGTGTAGAGTAGCACTTGTTGTTTGTCGTTTCTCTGATCACAAATGCAGACATGGTTTTATGTTTGCGCAGCGCGATGCAACGCAACGCGTAAAAAGACAGTATAAGTCATTATAATCCGTAATTATGTCCCACTGGATGCAACAAATGCCTCGTTTATAATGGGTTTTAATGTTTTTGTCTCGTCGCTCCGGCCGGACAGGGCATCACAGTATGTTAAGGGGCGTAAAATTTCCGTCACATGCTTGAGGTATTCGGCCAATCACAATGCACTGGATAGCTGGCCAATCAGAGCACACCTCGCTTTTCAGACCGATGAGCTTTGTAAAAATTGACGCGTTTCAGAAAGGCGGGGCATAGAGGAGAAACAATAATGTACAGTATGTGGAAAATAATGTGTTTTTTTTTAACCTTAAACCGCATAAACACATTTCATTACACCAAATACACAACATAATGTTCTTTTTAGCAACATCATATGACCCCTTTAATATCCTAATGATTTTTGGCATAAAATAAAAATCTATTATTTTGACCCATACAATGTTTTTTTGGCTATTGCTACAAATATACCTGTGCTACTTATGACTGGTTTTGTGCTCCAGGGTCACAAATAATAATAATAAAAAAATCTGTTAAAATGAAAAAAACAAACAAAAAAAAACACTTAAAAAGGAAGTGTAAAACAAAACAAAACAGTCAACTGTGTTATTAATATTAATAATAACAACAACATTATATTAAACTCTATATGAACCGTATCCAGAATGAAACACAAAATGTGAGTCTGTTTGTTCAAGTACACTTGGTCATTTTTCTTTCTTTCTTTCTTTCGCAGGAAGAAGAGATGTTTCGTCCCAATATGTTTTTCCTATTACTTTTACCACCAATAATTTTTGAGTCTGGATACTCATTACATAAGGTAAAAAATACTGTAATTTTAATCATTAAAAAAAAAAACAGCCATACATAAGAGAAGAAAGAATCTGAATCCCAACTCAGTTTAAAACTGTCCGATGAATCCTTCACTGGGTGAACTGAACTGGTCAGTGTAGAAATTTGAAGGAAAGACTAATGAAATAAAACACTATTAATCGTTCTGTGGTAGTATTGGTTGCCCTCATGCCAAGTCAGTATTCAGAGACATACAGTGATACTGAGATGAGTTATTTGAACAGATTGATCAGTCAAGTTCTTATTCCGCAGGGGAATTTCTTCCAGAACATAGGCTCGATCACGTTATTTGCTGTCTTTGGAACAGCGATCTCAGCCTTCATCGTGGGAGGGGGAATCTATTTCCTGGGCCAGGTATCTTCTTACTGTTTTGTTAGGCATCAACTGCTTTTCTCATGTCTTTCCATCTAAACAGACGTGTAAGTGAGTTCATTAAGTGGTTCGTCTAGTTAGACTAGTTGGCACACCTTAACAGCTCCTTTAGTATGATTTCTCAACAATTATGACTGTTATGTTTCCATGTGTCTCTTGAATAGGCTGATGTTATTTACAAGATGACAATGACAGACAGGTGAGAATATTGCTTGTGCAGTTTTGAGCAAAACTATGAGAGGCTGTGTCTTCATTTTCCCCCTTTTTCCCCCCTCCAGTTTTGCATTTGGGTCTCTGATCTCCGCTGTGGATCCGGTCGCCACTATCGCCATATTTAACGCTCTGAATGTGGATCCTGTGCTCAATATGCTGGTGTTTGGAGAGAGCATCCTAAACGACGCTGTGTCCATCGTATTAACAAAGTACGCCTCACTAAATCATCAGAACTCTCCTTCTGTCTTCCAGAAAGTCTTTTAGACGATTGTACAACCCCTGGTGCTGAAACCTATATGCAATCTCATCCTCATTCTACATATTTCCACTGAAAGAAAAATAGCTGTGGGCAGAAAAATCTGCTCTGCACCGGCTTCTAAAACCTGCTGGTCTCGAACCAGGAGCTGTAAACTACTATTATTGGCCATGGGTTGGTATAATGTCCTCAGAAAAACAAAACCTCAAATTACCTCAAAACGTTGTCAATTCAAATGCAGACTGGTTGAAAAGAGGTTTGTAGACACCGTTTTGAAGTACTTCTCTGTACTGACAGTCAGGGAAATTAAAGAATTTTAGTTTTCTCCATGAAAAAGTCATAGAAAGAAAGAAAATCTTAAAGGTTTTTTTTTAATCGTTTTTTTTAATAATCTTAATAGCCTGTAGCCATGCGCTCTTACAAGTTCTACATGTTACAGACGTTTGTAGGAACACTAATTAAATAAAACACTTAATAGTTTGATAGGGTCGCAAACCATTTGCGAATAATGTCTGTTTTGTATTTGAATTGGTTACCCTCAAGCCATCAACTTTTGAGTTTATAGTCAGAGACTGTGATACTTATATAAACAGTTTGATGAATAATGTTCTTATTCTGCAGGGTAGTTTTTTTTCTAAAACATAGGCTTGATCATGTTATTTGCCGTATGTTTGCATTTTTTTTTTCTAATGCTTAGCTCAAAAATATTTAATTGGCAAGAAATTGCAAAATTTAATAACATACTGTATATTATGAATGTGTCACTTAACATCAATAAGAATCAGATTTTTTTCCATTACCAGGGGTGCACATAAGTGGTGTGCATGTGCGACCAAAATAACAGCTGCAATTCCGTTCGATTACCATTCGAACTGAATGCATAAATCTTTCGGTTTCAGAGCAGGATGCAAAACTGTGACATTCACTGACGTGCTTCACTTGGCAGCCTTAGATGTTTCACAGCACTTGATATACAGATTTTCACAAGGACTGAGGAACTGTTTGGTCTTCCGGGCTCCCTGTATAATTAGGCTTATTCAGATTGCCACATTCAGTTAGTTCTTGAGAAGCACACAGTTCTCTAGAACGTCATTGTGTGGTGTAGTATAAAAGTTAGTCTTCACTGGAAAAGCCAAACCCATGCATTAGAAGGAGGTGTCCACATACTCTTGGCCGTGTAGTTGATATAGGCCTGGGTGATAAAACGGTATCGATATTTATCGACGGTACACCTTCTTCGATAACGATAGAAAAAAAATGTTCGATATAGCGCACGATATAGGCACGTGCTCTGAGTGACGCAGACGGCACACACAAACACATGCTGAAATGAGTGCTGTGCCTGCCTGTGATGAGGAGATTGTAAATAATGAATATTAGTTGAATTTAAAATAAACATTTGCAATGTTAGGAGTGCGTCAGGGAGCGTCATCAGTGGAGCATGAGATGCGGTGATGATGTAAGTGACGTTGTTGCATTTTAATATTTTATAAGTCTAGACCACGAGACGCGCCGCTGCTGTGTTATTCATTCAAAATATTAGAGAAATATAGAAGCTCAATGCGTAGAAGATCTTGAATGGGTTTAAACCGAAACCAAGCCATTCACACAGAACGCATATTCAGCACATTTTTTAGACGGACAAATATAACTGCTGCACTCACAAGAGATGTAGCCATGCAAAGTTAAAACAGTTTAAACTTTTAGGAAACACGTCACAAATTTGTGGAGGTTTATTCCTTTTCACTGCGTCTCATATGTTTTCAAATGTAATCTGTGTGAATGGTGCTTCGGCTCTTTGGATTAAGCAATGCATAAATACATGATGCTGTTTTGTTCATAATTGTTTATGCAATTTAAGAAATTATATTTGATTTTTATGAGTTAATTTAGATGTAATGCACGTTTTTATAGAGTTACTTCCTTGCGTTGACAATTTAAATG